GCCAGCCTTCTGGTTAGCAGTCAAGTGGTTTACCCACTATGCTACCATAGCTCCTTTCCATTATGTAACTTCCATTAAGTATGCGCATGCAGTCCCTCCACTTCTCTCTCTCTTCCCCATGCCTTACAACCTGCCAATGAGAAGCATGGGTAGCACAAAAGTAAACATAGAGCCAAATTAAAAATCTCAGATATAGAGCATATAATCTTGGATAAGTCAAATATCCGACATCTGAGGAAACAATCTGATACTGCTTTGCACTTAAAGCAAGAAGAAAGACTTATTTCAATGTAGCACATTTAAACAAAAAAATAAAAAGATATCTGACATGTGGTAACATGTGTACATAAATGTTTTACATTATACACAGGAGAACTAGGAACTAGGACCAGCATGGATTTGTGACTCAATGGCAATATCTAAATCATTTAGTTTCCTTAATATTTCCAATGAAAAATGAAGATACCATCTAATCTTATTAGATACTCATAAATTTTTAAAAAATTTACTTCACTACAGAAGTAGATTGCTCAACCTTCCTTCCAAGGAGTGGCTGGTTTTGCAAGGAAATGTAGAAAAGAAAGTGGTAAGAGCCATGCACAAGATATATCAAGCACCCAACCCAGATCAGCAGAATTTCAGGAGGAAGAAAAGCTTGAATGAGCCTTTAGAAAAAGCAGAAAATAGCTAGGGGGAGTTGATTCTAAGTCATGGTGACCCCATGGGTGTCAGAGTAGAACTGAGCTCTAGAGGGTTTTCATTCGTGGATTTTTTTGGAAGCAGATCACCAGGCCTGTCTTACAAGGCATCTCTGTGTGGATGCAAACCTCTAACTTTTTGGTTAGTAGTTGAGAGCATTAGCCATTTACACCACCCAGAGACTCCAGATAGAAAGAAGAGACAGTGAAATCAAAAGCACAGAAGTGTTAAGCCACAGAGCATGTATGTTCATAAACATGAGTAGTGGCGAAAATTAATCTGCAAAGTATAGTTTCCAGCCTTGAGACTGGAGGGGCAGATTGGGGTTATGTCACATGAGCTTTCTATGGTATGATTTTTTTAAAAAAATTAGAATTTAATATATTTTATGTATCTAATTAATGAGTTTTAATTTTTATAAGTATCATACTTATTTCTAAAAGGGAAGGTGGCATTATTCCACTTTGCATAAAAGATAACTAATGCAATTAAACATCTTTTTTGCAACCATTGAAACTATTGTATCCATGGTGTCATTAGTTCTATATGTTCTTCCTTTTAACATAAATCACATATTTACTATGCATATCTTTCTTTAAGACAATATTCTCCAAATTATAGCATGTGAAAAAAACATCATCTCTATTTGTGTTAAATACTTGGTAACATTACACTCATTTCTGTGGTTTTTATTATTTGCTCAAATGTTAGAGATAAATAATTTCTGATACAAATTACTAAAAAAGTCTGATTATTCATGATTTACCAAGCAATTGTCTTTTAGGGCACAAATATGGAAAACTCCTTTCTGTTTCTTCTTATTGGGTGTGATGATATAATGCCAAGGATGACCTCCAATCTGAAAAGCATTCTCCAAGGAGGATACCTCAAAGAGGAGTGGTGGTATGTCTGTAGAGATGGGCAAAAGGAACTAATTAGCTTCTCTGTTCTGGTGGCCTTGGACCATTCATTAACTAAAATCAACCTTGTAAATTTTCATTAATGCAAAATTACTATTTAAAGAAGTAGAAAAGAGACTCAAAAGAGAGAGAGAGAAAGCTAGTAGGAAACAAATGCTAGGCTATGAATCAACTTTCTAGACATTTGTTTTCAGGAGAAGCATGTATGATCTGCAGCTGAGTAGAGATAAAAAGTAGGCTGAAGGTATTTATGATGGCAAAAAATGAGCAAGCAAACCTAACTAATAAGAACGACTGAAAAAAAAAAAAAAAAACAACAACTGCCATTAACTGAGCATCTGCTAAGTGCAAAACTATGGATTAGATACCATTTTCAACTCTCCTAACAACTGTATAAGGAATTTAGATCTAACAATTCCTTCGAATGTGAAGAAGAGATCTTTGATATCCCACTAATAAGTTCAACTCAGAAAACTTTACAAGACCAGTCTTACTTGGGATTCCCACTGTACATATGATATTAGTCATAATGAATGCAACCACTTAGGATAGGCCTCTCACAGTGAAAGTTTTTTTTCAGTACAAATACATTTTGAAGATTAACACTGGAAATGAAATTTCTGTTGGTGCTTCTCTGATCACAACTTTAGGTAGAATGTAAACAGATCTAGCTACGCTTAGAGATGCACAGGTGGAAGGGTTAGAAAACCAGAATTCCTTTTGGGAAACACCATCTGGTCTGGCTGGGCAGGTGGTTAATCTACAGCTTCTTTGTTTATCCTCTAATGTGAGTGTTTAATGTCTGGATTTATGAGGTCACCACTGTTAGTAAAGGGATTATGTTAGGGAGACCATTCAAGGAAGAACAACGTAATACATACAGAAGTGTGGGTTCTGTTAGGCCTCTTCATAAAGACAACTTTTTCCTTGCTTTTATAACTTTTATAACACAGGAGGGAAAAAAAATAATGAAAAAAATGGATTCACAAATTGTCAGTCTTTCCTGAGGAGATAGGACAGAAAGGTACAAACACATCAAATATATTCAAAGTGTTTTTTTTTCTCTAAATCTTTTAGAAAAAGGTTATTATCCTTAATAAATAAAGAGGTCTTTTTGAAGTGGTAAGAAAACTAAGAACACCCCAATAAAAAATGGGCAAAGGATGTGAACAAATAAGTTACAAAAGACATACAAACATGAGATGGTGACTACCAAATAATGGTAGATGAAGGAAAAATAATTATACAAAGAAAATAATATAATTAAAGTTTGAATTTTGGGTTAAAATTTTAAGAAGGTATGTTACAAAGAGCATACAATAGAAATTCAAAGTAGGGAAAAAAAACAAATCAATGCAAAGAGATGCATGTAAGAGGAAATACTACTCTCAGCAGTTGTTGAAAGTGGCCCAAATGTAGGAGCAGAACTTTGCTCACCACAACTCTGATGGGCCCTGCAACCTCTCAAAAGCCCAAATTTTGATCTTTAATACTATTCTCAATTTAAAATGACTTAGGAGTTCTTAGCGAGTAGCTGATTCCATAGCCAGGTACTTGCAAGGAACTCCTAAGTCCTTTAAATGGAGAATAGTATTATTCTTGGGGTGAGGACATTTCAGGATGGCCCTGGAAGTTTCTGTTGCTGCTAGAAAGCAGGATACTCATGAGGCTATCAGGGTAGGCTAAAGGGAGAGGAGAGCCAGCAAAAAGAGCCCCTGCTATCTAGGTTGTGCAGAGAGGGACTGAAACAGCAATTCCGCTTAATTAGAACATGGCGAGTCTGAAAGGTCAGACAATGACACGTCAAATGAGACTTTAACGTAAAGAATACAGAATGACTGCTGTATTATAAAAGAACGATGACTACAGGAGGATATAATTGTAATTTTCTTTAAAAGTAGGGATAGTTAACCTTACATTTTTTTCTATTAAATAAATGTTTTAAAATTTAGACTGAAGTGAAAAATACAAGGTGCAAAACAGAGTATACAGTATACAACATTTGGTGTAAGACAGAAGGCAAAATTTAAAGTATAAATACATACACTTGCTTATTTTTGCAAAAAGAAAAACCAGAAGGGCAAATGAGAAACTAAAAATGATGATTACTTGTGAGGACAATGTGGGATAGAGAAAGGAAGTAACAGGATGTAAGGACTAAGAGTGCCAGTAAAATTTCTAAGAGTATACTTTTTTATATATAGGCAGTCCCAGGGTTATGAAAGTATGACAGACAAGTTGTATTCGGCCCTTTAATGTTTTGCAAACTTGCCCACACTTTGAAATGATTGAACCAACCCCTACTTATGACAAATTCTTCGTCACAGTCACCTTCACTTGCTGCAAATGCGGCTTTCAAAGTAAAGTACGGAACCAAAAACAAACCCACTCCCATCAAGTTGATACCAACTCACAGTGACCCTCATAGGGTTTCCAAGGCTGTAAATCTTTATGGAAGCAGAGTGCCTCATCCTTCTCCTGTGGAGTGGCTGATGGGTTCAAGCCACCAATCTTGTGGTTAGTAGCCAAATGCCCTAACCAGTAACGACCAGAGCTCCCTAAAGTACTAAAGTAAGGCTAAATAAGAACTATACATACCTGTTCTGACTTAACCTACATGTTTGACTTAAAGACACACTTAGGAATGATCTGTTTCATAACTTAGGGACTGCCTGTAGTTTTGATCTTTGAACTACGTACACATTTCAAATTTCAAGGATAAAATTAAAAAGAAAAGAAAACCCCCAAACTGAAAACAAATTGAAATGTTAATTATATTAAATTGGTGGAAAATTTTCTAATCATACAGAAAAATGATTTCAAATAACTTTTGAACACATTACTCTGATAATACACTTACTGGGCTGCACACTAAGGATAGAAGGAACTGAAGAAAAATCTTAAACTCACTCCATAATTCTGTTTTCAGTAGTAACATTGGTACTGCAATTTTAAACTATCTTGTGAGTTGTAGGAAAAAGAAAGGATAAAGTTGTAGGAGCCAAAATTTTCTATATAGGTGATATAAGAAATAGAAATAGGAAATTAAAGAAGTTAAAAGTGGTTATATTTGAATGGGAAATATAAAAATGAACTAGTGAATTTTTGTTCTAATATATTTCCCAGCTCTGTTTATTGAAAGGACCTAGAAGTAAAGACACCCAATTGGAATGAGTACAACTAGACTAGATCATGGTCTCTCATGACATTCTCTACTAGCATGTCAGATCTAGGACAAGGAAAGTAAAAGGTAAACCTAAGACAAGTTTTTATCCCAGAAAGCAAGGAAATGCTTAAAGACTATTGGGATATGTCCAAGTAACCCACTTGATGGAGTTCCCACTGACCAAATGTGGGAAATTTGAGCATTATTAAGAATAACTGCAGCTAAATACTGGATAAATAAAAAACCTACTATGTTTAGATATATGTGTTAATAAAATATTTTGCCACCATTGAAAATGACTACTATATTAACTCCTTTTTCTAAAAACTGGTATTGAAAGGGAAGGAATAAGTATATACCATGCCTTTTTAGGAGGAATTATAGTTCCTTAAAGGAGCCCTATTGGTGCAGTGGTTAAGTGCTCGCCTGCTAACCAAATAGTCAGTGGTTGGAACCCACCAGCTGTTCTGCAGGAGGAAGATGTGGCAGACTGCTTCCATAAAGATTACAGCCTTGGAAACTCTATGGGACAGTTTTAACCTGTCCTAGGGTCGCTGTAAGTTAGAATCCACATTGATGGCAATGGGTTATGGGTAGTTCCTTCCTAGTTGATGATTAAAGTTCTTCTTCTTCCCTTTTTATTTTAAAGCTTTTAGTTAGAGAAAAATGCCAGCTATTAAAGGCAGAAGGAATGACAGAATTTTTTAAAACCCCCATTCCGCAATCCACAATCAAATAATATTCAGGCAAGGATCATTAATAGTTCTAAGAATAGTCTTATATAAATTTAATATTTAGAAACAACCTAATGTCTAAAGTAGAAAATTGGTTAAATAAATTATAGTACATCCATAAAATGGCATATAAGCTTGAAGGTCTTAAAATCTGAAAGATAAACAAACACAAACACATACAAACACACAAATCTAGAATAATTTTTTGGTGTTGGTAAATATAAGCATTGCATTCAAATGGTATCAGAAGCTATCCAGTGAAAACTAAGTTCTCCATCCATTTGCATCCCCCCAAAGGTAACTACTATTACCATGTTTTTGTATGTCCTTTCAGGGTATTGCAAACATATGTTTAATGTTTTAAAAAATACATGCATAAAAAACATTAAAGAAACACTTCAGATACACTAAAACATCTTGAATGTAATACAGTAGTTAATAATGTTTTGATGCATGTAGAAAGGTACAATACATACTATATACTGAGACAAACATTTGACTCACTCATGTTAAATACGAATCATACCAACTGTTCTGACTTATGAACAAATTTGACTTAAAGACAGACTTAAGGACAGAACTTGTTCATAATCCAGGGACTGCCTGTACATATTTTGGTGTCTGTATAATGTCCTAGTTCACAGAACATATCATGGATATTAAACAATAATGACTGATTATAAATATGAAGACTTTACACAAATGGGGCTTTTCCATATGCAGTTTTACACCCATTTTTTCATATATCTTAGAAATTGTTTTATAGCAGTGCAAAAAGATTTTTTTTTAATGATACAGCCCTACAATGAAATACTAGTATCATCTACAAATATACAGACTGTTTCCAACATTGTGCTAATAGAAAGTATTTTGCTCTTTATCACCCTGCTCTGTTTTACTCACTTATACTTTGTGTATCAGTGAAAGCAAAGCTAACATTTAACTATATTAACTCCTTTTCCTAAAAGGAGGTTATTTTCAGAATTGCCCATTTTAATTTCTACGGGAGCCTGTAGATGTAAAATTCTTGATAGAGTTCCTGCCAGTGCATCTGTACTGATTATAGCAGTGCTCCTGAGGTTGAACAGTCACAAAGCTGCCTGATTTAGCTTGCCTAAGGCATCTAAAAACGTGGGTACTTTTTTTAAAAAAGAAAAAATAAACAAATGCATTATTAGCTTCCTGTTTCAAGATAATATCCAAACTCCTTAACTAAGCAGACAGACTTTTCATGATCTGGGCCTGCCTCTCTGTCCAGCTCATTTCCTCTGCTCCCAGAAGGTACTCTTCATTTGCCTGAGGCCCATGCTGGTTTCTTTCACGTGTCCTGCTCTTTCACACTTCAGGCCTTCACAAATGCTGCTCTGCAGTGTCTATATTAAGTGCCTTTTGTCTATTGTCTTTTTATTTTTTAATAAATGCACAAAAGTATAGAGAATTCAAAAAAAAACAAACTTGGATAATCTTAAAATATTTATTTTGAACTTGCTGCATAACTTAATAGTTGTACTGAGCTTTCTCATTAGTTTTCAGAGTTTGTCATTTACTACTAAATCGAACTTCATCTCCTCCTTTCTAACAACTGTATCTTTCATTTTTGTTTCTTGAGCTATGATGTTAAATAATAATAATCCTATTATGTTCCTATAATCCTACTATTATTCTTCAATCACATGGTCTTACTCTGCCTATATTAGAAGCATCTTTGCAGTTTTCCCTAAAATAACATGGTATTTATTGGTTAAAAAAAGAAGGGAATATCTTTAACATGACTCTTAATAAACTAAGAACAAAGACAAATAGATATAAAGATAATAAAATGTATTTTCTCTTTTGTTTACTCATGTGATTTTTATATTTACTTTCAAACATTAAACCATCCTCATATTCCTGAGATGAGTGATGATCTCTCGTGGTTTCTTTCTTTGTAAATAAACTGCTGAATTTAAATAGTATTTTATTTCTATTTTAATAAACTGCTGAGTTTGATAAGCTAAACTTATGTAGAATATTCTAAGCTATATTTATAGATTTGTATGATTTTCTTTTTTGTGCTCTGTCAATCTTTATACTAGGAAGTTCTTTGTCTAAGCTGTCTATGTACAGATGGCACAGTAATCATATTTTCTTTGAAAAACATCCTTCTTAGAGGTGAGTAAACTTCACAGATTTGAAAAATTTTAAATTATAGGGAGCTAAGAGAGCAGTATTTGCCCCACTCTCTCATCATTTTGCAGATAAGGAAATCAAGAACAAGACGATACGGTGACTTGTCAAAGGTCACTGATCTCTGGCCAAGCAAAGCCCAGCATCCCCAGGACTGAAGTACAATGAATAAATGATAGATTTTTGTTGACATTTATTTGATATCAAGGAATGTGCTGTATAGGAGTAAAATGAATTGAATGTATAATTAAATTATAAGAAAAACATTTATATGATTACAATTAATAATTACATGACCACTTATTTTTTGAAGGTGAAAAAATACTATATAGTAGCCATACCTGTGATTTTAATATTACAAGGAATGCCAAAAGGAGCCTCTCCTACAGTTCCAGTAGTCCCACCCCATCTGCATGCACACCCTAAGTCAAGTTTCTGTTGCATGAACTAAAAACAAAACAAAACAAAAATGGTGGCTTTAGCACCTACTTATTTGCTGTCTGAAGAAGAAAAAAAAGGAAAAAATGAAATTCACATGTATATGACAGAGAAAATGTCTTTATTTGTCCAAGGGCTCTTCTGTTTATGTCCCCACTTGTCTTTTAAAGATTACTTTGTCTTTTTGCATTTGTACAGTTTTGTGGAGTTATAATCTATGTAAGTATGTGGCTCTAAAAGCATTTCACTAAAAATTATTCATCAATTTACATTAATTATAGTATGGCAAATGTTATTTTTTTCTACCTGTTCAGTGATGGCTTGGAAGCTATAGAGTTTGACCAGTCCCGAGCTGTACATCACAATCAGTATTCCATGAGATAAAGTAGCATCTGTAACGTTCCCGAAAATCTGGAGGGAAAGGCAAATCTAGCCTCAGAAAAGGCCAATCCTTTTAGTGTTCACGGTGCTTTGTGATACTGCTTAATATTCAGATCACCACTAGGACCCCGCTGCCTAGTATCATAACTTAATTATAATTTAGCAACTAGAGGCTTAAGTGTTATTGGGCGTGAGTGGTGAGACAATGGCATCTCAAAGTGGAACAATACAGTGCGTACAGCACACATTCCTCAACACGAGGCAGCAAACGTTCATTTGCTTCAGAGCTCTGGCAACACCCACGAATAACAAGCCCTATCCCTCGTGGACACAGGAATATACTGAGTAGATCTAATTCTAAATACATATTACTTTACCATGTATATTATGGCAGGGATCCATTCTTTATGCTAAAATTTCTTCACGTAAAGACTCAGTTTTTAGCTTATTAGAGGTAAAAAGATTGGATCAAGAAAAATAATTCTACTGAGAAATAACTCAGAATTTTAACATCACCTTGCTCTTGAATTTTTTTCATCATCTTTATATGAAAATCAAACATTTAAAAACAAAACAAAACCATCTACTTGACCTTGAGGGAGTCTTTGGTTCATTGTCCCCTTTCTGTTTATGTTCTATGCACTGGGCCCTACCATCATTCTCTCCAGAGCTCTGATAAAGAATTTAATTCTGTGCCTATCTTAATATTTAACCAAAGCCAACACAGACAAATATTCATAGCAATGAAAGAACTAGGAATGAAGTAAAAATCTGTTTATATTTCTACTTAAGACAATTTTTTTATTTGTTGTTGTTGCTTTTATGCGCCATCGAGTTGGACTCGACTCATAGCGACCCCTCCTTGGGTTTCCGAGGCAGTATTACTACAGAAGTAGATTGCCCAACCTTCCTTCCGAGGAGTGGCTGGTGGGATTGAACCGCCAGCCTTCTGGTTAGCAGTCAAGTGCCTCAGGCACTAAAGCTTAGTACAATCTGAAACTGGCCACTGGATAGTAGTCTTATTACACAGGGTAAGTGAAAGATATACTTCAATTCCATGTAATCATATTCAAAACTAAATCCCTCAAATGATTACACTGGACATGTAAGAATATATAGAAACAATTTGTGACTTTGCTAGTAAGTGTTCATTCCTGCTGCAGACTATAATAAGAACATACAATTACATAATCCACAAAGAGAAATATTAAATGCATGAGCTGTGCTTTTTTGTCATCTCTTAAAGGATAATTACGATTTGCTTTGATCTTAACTAGCTCCTGACTCTTTATTCACTGATCCCGGCTCCCTGCTTTGAAAAGGCGGATTTGTGTAATTCAAACATAATTTCATATAATGAATGCCATAACAAACTAGTTGCCTACTTTAAAATTTGACATACACTTTGGAGTGAAACCCAGGTTCAAATTCCAGCTCCCTGATTTACTATCTTTAGGATTTGTGTAGCTGCTTAGCTTCCTAATTGAATTAATTATGCTACAATGTTATAAAATACTTAAAGTGTCTGGCACAAAACAAAATAAATGATAGCTAATATTATTCTTTAAGGAGGTTTAGCCTTTCTTTAGTAATATGATTATTTCAGATAAACAATTTTTAATACACTCATCTTGTTTGCTAATAAATATTACTGGATGTTCAAGAACCTGCCCTCTAGAACACTTAAGGTGTTTAATTAAAGACTAGTGGAACAAATGACTATTCATCCAGAGTAAGTAACAATTCATAAAAGGAAGGCAGAAGACTATTGATTCTTTTACCTAAGGAAATTTGACTGATGGTCTCTCCCCCAAATCAGTAACAATGACAATAAGAATAAAACTCCAAACTGAATGAGTTGGAAAATGTGCATATTTAATTATAAGGCTTGTTAATATACCATAAAACAAGTTTTAGATCTGTATCTTGTAATTAAGATGAAGCCTTTTGTTGCAGATTTATCATTTCCCTTAATGATCATTCTAATAAGCTCTGCAATAGTCCTGTTGAAAAAAAAAATCCTACTCACTTTGTAATTTTATAAAATAGTGGTTTGTTAGTGACCACAGGTAAATAACACCATCCACAGGAAAATACATGCAGAAAGATTTAAGGTTGATTAGGGTCTCTTCTCAAGTCAAATGTCCTCATGGATTGTTATGAAATAAACCAGGTGAGCAAATTTTTATAATCAGAAGAACCTTCCCAATTAAACATCCAATAAACAAATAATTAAATGATGGCATTATATTTTAACGTCAATAAAATTAACAATACAGTTAAATCAGAAATAAGTTCTTACTTTTTTGTTTATCTCCAAAATTCCTATGAGTGAAAAAGGTAGAACACGGAACACTGCAAGGTACAGCAAAACAGATTGCTGAATGCCTGCCTAGAAGAAAAGACTAAAATTACGGGCAGCTCTAAAATGTACTTCAGACACACTGTTTTAATGAGCTGAAAATATCCATCTGGACTAGTATGCAGTTATGTAGATATTTTCATGAATTAGAAACATCCATCAATCTGGATTGCAAAAATACTTAAAAAGGAAGGCACACATGTTCAAAATATGTCCACTAAACCTTCAGCCGTACACACACACACACACACACACACTCCATAAAAGCAAACATAACAGTAAACATTTCTCAGTAACAAAATGCCATGAGAAAAAGCTGAAGTAGTTCAGATTAAAAACAACAAAGACCTAGAACTCAGACTCTGCCAAGAGGAGATAGCAAATAAGTATTTCTTTTTCTAGATGTCCTGGAATATGAGGAAACAGAATAACTGTAATGGCAGACTATAATAAAGTGTCCAATAAGTGCTTTTTTAATAATATTTCTTTAAGGTCATCTACAAAAAAAAAATTACTTGATATATATTATCAAAGAATCAAACTTCTTATTTTATAGTCTAGTACATCTTGGGTAATTATTAAAAAAAAAAAAAATCTACTGACCAACCTTTATAACATGCTTCAGAAATCAAAAATTATTAGTTCTTTGATAACAAATTTGCAGACAAATTCTACGGAGACAAATTTCTTTGTCTTAAGTATTTAAAGATGTATACCTGGCGGGCCACTGCTGAGACTTTGTTCTGAGCTGACTTGATTGCAATGACTTCTTGAGGAGTGTCCCAGTTCAAGTATCTTTTAAAGAATTGTGAGAAGTTTATTCATTTAGATCAGTTTCCCTGTACTTAAAAATCAAAATATAATAGATATTTTACAAGTAAACAGTTTTTAATTACTTAAATTATGAAAGAAGTTTATTTTTTTAAAAAAAAGAAAGCTAGACGCTTTACAAATCCCTTTAATGGATATATCCCTATAAGAAAATATAATCTATTGCCACAAAGTCAGTTCCAACTCCTAACAACCCTATAGGATAGAGCAGAACTGCCCCATAGCATAGTGCCTAAGGCACTTGACTGTTAACCAGAAGGCTGGTGGTTCAAACCCACCAGCCACTCCTTGGAAGATGGGGCAATCTACTTCCGTAGTGATACTGCCTTGGAAACCCAAGGAGGGGTCGCTATGAATCAGATCCGACTCAACGGCACACAACAAGCCTCATAGGGTTTCCAAGGCTATACATTTTATGGAAGCAGATTGCCATATCTTTATCCTGTGGAATGGCAGGTAGGTTACAACCACTGACTTTTTGGTTAGCAGACGAATGTGTAACCACTGCAATAAGGATGTGTGTACACATATCTTACATATAATTTTAATCCTTCCAGAGTCTTGATGAATAAAACTTATGTCTGATCTGAAAATGTCCCAAACTAGGAAAACTAAATAATCATTTTTACTTAAAAATGGAACTTATAAAAAGCTTTAAAATGTTACTTTCATACCTTGTGTGTATATGTTCACTCCAAAACTTTACCTCTAATTTACAAAACTAATAGTTAAAAAACAGTTGTAAGATTGTGGTAGGCAAAAAACTGAAAAAGACTAATCTTCAGGAAAATCTAGCATAAACATATCCTATATAAAAACATAATTTGTAGAAAGGAAAACACTAGAGAATTTTAAAAATTTATCTGGCAACTACTATAAACCTCACTGCCGTCGAGTTGGATCTGACTCATAGCAACCCCTCCTTGGGTTTTGGAGGTGGTATCACTATGGAAGTAGATTGCTCAACCTTTATTCCAAGGAGTGGCTGGTGGGTTTGAACTGCCAGCCTTCTGGTTAGCAGTCAAGTGCCTTAGGCACTACACCACCAGAGCTCGCAACCACTACTATAGGTTTGGTATTTATAAGGGACACAAGGTAAGTGATACAGGGTTCCTTTTATGTGAATGATCTTCAAGTGTAGTTATGAGGAAAGGACAAGAGAATAGGTTTATAAACCTAGTTCCTGGTATGCATTATAAAACTTAACCAAAAAAAAAAGAAATTTCCTGGGCCTCATATTTTTATAATAAAATCTTGAATAATGAAGTTGCAATTAATACCTGAATTTGCAATAGGAAGCAAGATATATCTTTTCAAGGATTTCCCCAGTAGCTGCAGACACACGAAGCAGCCAATTATGAGCAGTTAGTGCAATGAGTGAGGATTTATAATCTGAGGGATCGGGAAGTATTTCCCCCTAAAAAGAAAGAAAGAAAATGAGGTATATAAACAAAGTGCTTGGCCATGAACAATTCATAGCAATCAATGTCCAGAGAAAATAACTAAACACTTAAAGAAACAGTCAAATAAGTACATTAACCAAAGAAGAAATATTAAATGCACAAAGAGAGAAGACAAGATAGGACTGTGGGTAATTAGTTTCATCATTAACTTATTAAATGACTTTATTCATATAATATTCTTAACATAATGCCTGAATAGTACCTGAATTAATCTATTATTATTGCTATTAATGTATTATATAAAATTATTATTAATAAATTAATAATTATTATACAGTCAAGAAATGGCAGCCAATCATTATAATAATAATAGTTGTTGTTGTTGTTGTTAAGTGCCGTTGAGTCGTTCCGACTCATAGCGACCCCATGCACAGCAGAACGAAACACTGCCCGATCCCGCACCAGCCCCACAATCCCTGCTATACT